TAACTAAGATGGGATCAAATCAACAAAAATAATGATTAAATGTACAAAGAAAACTTTAGAAATTCATACTTCCATCGATATAAGACACACATTCTTGAATATAGATTTGCGACATGGTGTCCAGTATGAGCGTGATGTTAGTCACGTGATGTTAGTCTATCAACTCGTAATCCACACATGGTCTTAACTTATTGTTAATTATTTCATTGCTCTAACTTCACATGGTTTCAGATCCATATAACCGTCCTGATCCCCCAAAACCGAAACTAGAACAATGGCAAAATACGTTTGGAGTCGATTGAGACGATCATACGGAGACCTATTGACACTAGACACTTTTAAAACTATCTAACTGTCAGCGGGCACTACTCCAAGCCTTCAAATTACTGCCATGAAAAGGATTCAAAATAAGGTTTAATTTTGCTTGTACGGTTAACTCTAGGTGGGGGATGGACTCCAGTCTTAATCAACGGATATGTATTATCTAATCTCAAATATTCAATTACTCCTAGAACAATGGCAAAATACGTTTGGAGTCGATTGAGACGATCATACGGAGACCTATTGACACTAGACACTTTTAAAACTATCTAACTGTCAGCGGGCACTACTCCAAGCCTTCAAATTACTGCCATGAAAAGGATTCAAAATAAGGTTTAATTTTGCTTGTACGGTTAACTCAATTTGAACGACCACCCTCGTAAGCGACCATCTCCTGTAAGCGACCACCTTTTGAATTTCCCGTAGTTTGTTCAGTTTACCATATAAAAAATCCCGAGGTGGTCGCTTACGAGAGAGTTGACTGTAGTCTCTAGTTTTCTCATGAGGTTAAGTATAAAGACTCTATTGCAGTGATAATAGCAAGGCAAGTGCTTAGGATGTGGTATGCAGGATTTTTTACTCGGGGTTCCTGTGGAACCCAGAGTTTAAATTTCGGGCTTCTTATTATTTTTTTTTTTCTTTGTCGCTTATCAGTCACAAATTGTCCACAGGTAGCCCAAGCTCATAATCACGTGTTATGCTAAAAATGCTATTTAGAGACCAAATTAGCAAAATATTATTATTGTCCTCGATAGAAAATCTAAATGAAAGTATTATTGCGAAAGTTTGAGCCAAAATAATGCTTTTTAACAGAAATACGAGCAAACGAAAATTGGTAAGAATGTATGGGTATCACGGCTCAATGCGTTTTAGACAGGTCAAGAAATAACTACAAAAGGCTGTGTTTTAAGATCTAAATGAATTTTTCATGTTCATGGCCAAAAACAGCATATAATTCCCAACAATTATGCAAAGTTTGAAGTCAAACTGCGATTTTTTAGCAAAAATATAAGCGTTTGAATATGGTCTTACTTTACAAGGGAATGTATGGGAAAGCCCTGATGGTGTACTATCCAGTACACAACCACGCGGACAGTAACTCCGAGTGTCGAAATAAGCTCAAAAGTAATGATTTTGCTTCAGTTTTCTAACAATATCATTCTAAAAATTTAATTTAATGCTGAGACTATAGTTGTTTTAAGATTTATAGGCTTTCCGAGGTTAATTTGGCGTGTTTCAAGTAGCTTGACAGTATTGCGTGACATATTTTTGAACGTTAATAACTCAACGAATAAACAGCAAAAATAGTTGAAACTTTCAGAGAGAACTTCTATTATGNAAGAGCGGAGAAGATAAAAGACTCTGTGTTTACAGCCTGTCATGTGACTATCAAAGACCGGCTTGCTGATGATCAATTTTTTCATGATATTTATGCTGAGTACACTGTTTTTTTATTATTTTTTATTCCAGGAAGTATTTTTTGCTTTACGCCTTTTGATAGTATGACTATTAACTTTATTAAGGTTCAATATAGTCCAATTCTTCTCAATTCTTCGACTACAACACTCATTGTTGTCACTTCATCGTTTTATGATATATTCAAGCAGAACCCCGAGTTCACGCAGCTATGCGTCTAGTTTATAAATAGGGTAACGTGACAAAATGGGCAATAGACGATGTGCAGCGAAACCATTTTGTGCAGCAAAGTGTGTTGGGAGTTGCTTTCCTCGTACCCTAAAACAATCCTTCAAAGCCATTTTTGCTTTTTCGCGGCAGAAATCGAAGAATTAGCTGTGCCGTTCTGACCAAAGAAAATATGAAAACAGATTTTAGGGAGGTCGTTAGTGTGATGACTACAACTCTCACCATGCTTTATTGTATAACATGGTTTTCTGGTTGAATTATAACATCCCTATAATGTAAATTTAAAGCAATAAAAATGTGCAAAACCTTTACTGGATTAGTTTTCAACAAAAATGATACTCACCACAGGAAGCCCAATTTTTTAAAAAATTGTCAAAACTTTGATATCCCTTGATCACCCCCTCTAATTTTGATTAGTATAAACATACTAATGGTCTATCACTCATACTGCGCTGTGATTGGCTACTCTACTAATGGTCTAATTAGTGATAGACCACTCGCGGAAAAATCAAAAAAAAATAAAAAAAATTATAAATTATAAATTATTTTAAGGATATTTCAATTTGTTTTCATTATTTGACCGATTAGTATGTTTATACTAAAACAATTAGACCTCTCGGTCTCGTGGACTACGAGCTAATAGCCCATTCGGCCTCGCGGACTCGGCCTCATGGGCTATTAGCTCGTAGTCCACTCGACCTCGAGGTCTAATTGTTAA